TACATGTATTTACTGTGTACTTATGCTTGATTAAATACATGTATGTAATTACATCTGTATATAACTTTTGTAATTACATTTTTAAATACACTGTCCATCCCTTACACCTTAACCCACCCTTAAACCTACCCATACCACCAAACCTGTCCATAACCCAACCTCTATCCCAACTAAAAGCACCACAAGTGTTCTCAAATACATTATAAACAGCGTAAGCACATTGTATTTATTTTTTGGTGTAAGTACATTGTAGTTAAAGACACTTAATATAAAGTGGAACCATTTTTTGTCTGTGTGTGAATGCGTTTCATTATGTGTGTATGAATGTGTTTGTATGTTTATGTGCACTTCTTTTTCTCTCTCTGTGTGTGTGTGTGTGTGTGTCTCCATGTTGTTGCAGTTGTAGTGTCAGCAGTGTGTGTTCCAGTAAGACAGCAGGTTTGTGTTATGGCGGTGTTTCTCCTCTTCTGACCCCTGAGGAATGCAGAGTTCAACATGTTTTATGTGCAGAATGAAGCAGCGCTGAGTGTTTGGACGGCTCTGATTTCATCAATCTTGATGCTGTTTACAGTCAGAAGTTCTCGATTACTGTCATTGATGTTTTATTGCCGGAATTATACCAAATAGTTTGTCAGCTGGTCTGCTTTGACCCAAAATATGTTTATTTTACAACAAGTATTTGAATTACTACAACACATTCATCACATGACCGGCGGGTAAACAATTACAACTTTAAGGTTTTATATTTTTGAATATTTATGTATTTAAAATTATTTATGAATTGACATTTGAGTGGTGGTATAGTGGCTCAGTGATTAGCACTGTGGCCTCAGAAACAAGGTCACTGGTTTGAACCTATGTTGGCATTTCTGTGTGGAGTTTGCATGTTCTCTCCGTGTTGTTGGCGAGGACTTCCTCTGGGTGCTCTGGTTTCCCCCACTCTAGGAGCATTGATTTAATTTTACTTTTTTGACTTTTAGTCCTTTTATTTTTATTTTTTTGCATTGTAAGGTCCAGTCAGTTGGTCCAATGACTGGGACTACTAGTGGATGAAAGTTCACTGCATGTTCGGTCTTTCCAGTGCACAATGTTGATTTACTTTAAACTTAACTATATCATCAACATATCTGACTTCAATTTCAGTATGAGGTGGTTCAGAATATGAATATATTTATCCTCGTTTTATCTGACTCCAATTATAAAACATTGATAAGATTATTTTATAGGGGGGAGTGTCGGAGGAAGAAAAGTGGGAGGGTGTGGGAGTGTCTATTTGGGCACGCGCGAGTTTCAGAGTCAAAATACACACACACACAGGAGAAAGTGATGGTGTTTAACCTACATGGACATCTGTAGTCGAAATATTTGCAAAATTATTAAATGGTGGACTTTAACTGCAGTTTGGCTCTTTCATTCAGGGAATTCATTCATGTCCCTCACGACAAACGAGATATTTGATTCGAGGAGCTGCTCTAAGCGTGTATTTTTCATGCAATGTTTGATACCGCACAACGAATGAGAGAAAAAAAACTCCGCATTTCCCAGAAACTAAGATGCACACGACAGGTAGTGTCAGAAAGCCGCGCGTGTTATTCCGGTCACAAAATGCGGTAAAAACCCTACACGAGGTTAAAGTTTGGTTGTGGTGCTAACATGTTTACACTCGGTGCAATAGTTAACTTAGTTCGATACGAACAAACTGAATAAACAAAGAGCACTGGTCGCTCACTTACCAAATCTGTAGAGACAGGACAATCACCAGCAACTAGAGCCGCGTCTTTATTAAGAGAATACTACAAGCGAATCCGGATCTCAGCGTTTGCAGATGAGAACAGCTCTCAGGTAAACAATAATCCTCCTTAGACACGTAAGTTATTGTTGTCGAGCGTCGCGTACACTGTTAATCCACACGTGACTCCAGCTGAGCTCTCACAGAGAGAAAATGAAAACGAAACTTCACTGCAGCAAACTATAAAAGCAACACTTCACGCTTGTTTTGCCAACACAACGTGGCGTCTCTGTCCTGAAAACACTCTGTCAGTAATGAATATTAATGAAGTTGCACAATAGAGCGCGCTGATTGGTTTGAACCAAGCTTTACTCATGCATTAATGCATCACACTGTAAGACGTAATAAGACACACTCTGGCACAGACGCCCAGTCTGCACGCTGGAATACAACGCTATTATGTCATGACCGTGACGCAGCTTCAAAAATTAGTTTCAAACCGGAAGTACAAATTTGCTTGAAATAATGCAAAAACAACCAATTTACACTTTTTAGTGAAATATAGGTGTCCTAATAGTGTTTTTAGCAGTGTGGGACACATATACGACTGTCAACAGCTCAACACATGTGTTTTGGTGTTTCGTGACCCTTTAAACACAAGCATGTCAGTCTTTGTCATTAAACAGAGGCGATTAACCACTATTTTAAAAAGGCAGAACTCTACTTACTCCGTTTAGAATATGTGTTGACTGGACCCCATAGATCTGCTATCTACTAAATCAAGACAAACTATTTCATCATACCATGATCATTACTATAGAATTAAGCAGACCAACTTACTTAAACTATTAGTGACCTTGAGTAATCACCATATGATTTAAATAATATTATAAGTTTAGAGGTGAAGGCCTACCCACATTTAGGTTGGTCTCAACAATACTTTGTTGTTCTAGATAGAAAATCCATTATTGGCCTTTTACAGTCTAAGTAGGGCGACGCAGTGGCGCAGTAGGTTGTGCTGTTGAGTAGTGCTGGTTCGAGCATCTGCATTTCTGTGTGGAGTTTGCCTGTTCTCCCTGCGTTCGCGTGGGTTTCCTCCGGGTGCTCCGGTTTCCCCCACAGCCCAAAGACATGTGGTACAGGTGAATTGGGTAGGCTAAATTGTCCATAGTGTATAAGTGTATGTGTGTGGATGTTTCCCAGAGATGGGTTGCGACTGGAAGGGCATCTGCTGCGTAAAAACGTGCTGGATTTGCTGGTGGTTCATTCTGCTGTGGTGACCCTGGATTAATAAAGGGACTTAGACTGTAATTCATTCATTCATTCATTCACTCTAAGAACATCATATAGCGTGCCACGCTGCTCTGTCTACCGTGTTTTAGTCTGTTACTAACTAGGGGTCCGTTCTTCGTACGTGGATTACTCAGTTAGCTGGATTTGGTTATTGACTATTTAAGACTATTCAGGATCGTTTCGTTCTTCAAAGCTCATCTGGGAGTTGTTGTCATAGCAACAGTTCTGGCAGCTCAAACCTGCTTAGGAGAAGGTTTTTTTCATGTAAACAGGATTAGATCGAGTCATTTCAAGCAACGGTAATACTAAAAGTATGTACAGAACTCTGATATTTTCTGACAGTAGTAACCTATAGATTATATACACTTGGGAAAAAAGTAAAATTGTTTTTAAAAGTTTATATATCACATTTATAATTTATAATAATTAATAATATTTTATATTAAATAATTCATAATATTTATGTTTATATAGAAATGTTTAAAAAAAAAAAAAAAAAAATATATATATATATATATATATATATATATATATGTATATATATATATATATATATATATATATATATATATATATATATATATATATATATATATATATATATATATATATATATATATATATATATATATATATATATATATATATATATATATATATATATATATATATATATATATATATATATATATATATATATATATATATATATATATATATATATATATATATATATATATATATAT